TGTGTTCAAAAAGCTATTTGATTTAGCTCCATCCCTCTCTCTCTAGCTCTCCCTCCCCTGTGATTGTCCACATTGCCCCTAGTGGAATTGAATTGGGAAAACATGGTTAATTTACTGGTGATGTTTAATAGGTTGGAAAAATGCCACCCATTTTGGTGATTGGGGGAAAATTAATTTGTGTGTAACTGCACTTTTGGACATAATAAAAAAAGAGAAAAGCTACTTGGTCAGTTAGAAAACATGGATGATTTACATGGTGGTTAATAAATGAAAACAATACTCTGGGCAATTTGGTGATTGGGAAAAGGAATCGCACAGTTATGTGTGAGAGCACTTTTTGATGCAAAATAAAGCTACTTGGAAGGCTCTCGTGGCACAGTGGTAGTGTTCCTACACTTTGAACCAGGAGACCTGGATTCAAGGCCCACCTGCTAAAAAATGTGTCAGAACATCTCCAAAGGATGATTAGAATAATTAGGATGATTAGGAAAATATAAGAATAGGTACTTGATTGAGGTACCTGAAGATTGGCAGAACCTCTGATATCATGACTGACCATACCTCATGCTTATGAGAAGAAGTGAGAATTTTCAAAATTTTGCTGAATTGTTTGTGAATTACTCTACTTCTGATTTTCTTGGTTCTTCTTAGATGGTTTCTACAAGAAGCTGTGTTGCAGTTGCTGGATGGCCAACAAGTTTCAGTTTATCCATTGACCAAAGATAAAGATTAATGCATGAGCACAATTGTATTCTTCAAGATGCGATTCAATTACTGATGTTATTTCAAACAAAATAATTTTTAAAAGTAATTTGGAGCTTAAGCTCACACGGTTTTTCAAAAGTTGGTAACTCCAACGATTTCAGTTAAAGAGAAAACGTCAAACAACTGTGGATGCTGTAAACCAGAAACAAGAACAGACATTACTGGAAAACTCGGCAGGTTTGGCAGTATCTGTGGAGAGACAGCAGAGTTAACGTTCTGAACTGAAGAAAGTTCTCTGGACCCAAAACGTTAACTCTCCTTTTTCTCCACAGATGCTGCTGGACCTGTTGAGCTTTTCCAGCAACAGCTGTTTCCATTTTAGTTAAACAATTGCTACAAACTGTTTTCAGGCCAACTTGATGTAAGGAGAGAATTTGTTTGTATTCTCAAACCATATAAAGACATGCACCTAGGAATAAATGATAATTCTGGTGAAAAGCTGATGTTACTTTAATCAATAACCTTCACAATAGGTTAAACTGACCAGATTCTTATTTTTTCACAATGTATTATTAATAAAAGACTTTTAACAGTTTGTCAATATTGGATGCCAAGAATATGCTGCTTGAAAAAATGTATGTACAATGCCAATAGCAGATTACCTATCAATCAACCAGCAACTAAGGAACATATTTTTCTGCCTACAAACCATCAATCCACAAACATGTACCTTTCGGAGGAACTTGCTTGGAATGTCATTCCTGTCACTATAATGTCTTATGAGCTAAATCCTCAGTTTCTGAATGTAAGGGTAGCAAAAACATTTGGATATTAAATAACAAATCCAAATTTAATGGATTTTCAAGCATCAAATTAAAAAAGAGCTGCAAATGTGATAGATGATCTACACTGTATAATAAAATTGACTTAGTCTACATATATATTTTAATAACCATTCAACCTCAGGCACAAATGTTATGGAGTCTGGGAATATAACTTGAAATGTTCACTTGTGAAGATCAGTTTGGAGAACAGCACTACTGAAATATGTTAGTGTGCACTGCCAAATTAAGATGCTAACACTTAGTGAAAACACACCAAAATGTTCTATACAGCAATACAAGGTCTTATTCTTGTGAAAGAGATGTCTCTGTATATCAACTTGAGCAGTATCCAAGTGGTCGTGGTTTCAACCAAAAGATTTTTATTAAATGTTTATGAATGCAGTTGAACTAGTTAATCAATTTCATCATTTAAAAATAATTCTCAGGATGTCAGCACCATTATTGTTCAGCATTTCTAGTTGCTTGCAGATAAGGATGGATGTGCTACTGGAACCACAGAGGCAGTCCTGCTTGTGTTTGTGTTCCCACAACAGTGTTAGATAGTATTATCATCAAGATCTGATTGGCTGAATGTTCTTGGAGAGAATCAAATCCTACCACTGAGGCAGAAAGCAGGAGACGATCCAGTACTATTTTATAGCAGGAGTTAACAGTATGCCCCTACAGAACTGCTGCCCCAGTCAGAGGGCTAGCACCTCAGCAGCAGTTGCAGTTCATCAATAGCAGTGGACACTGCTGAGCCTGCCAGACAAAGGACAAAATGGCTCCCTGATGAGGTGCCCTTGGAAATGAGGTAAATTTTGCTAGTGATATTTGTTCTCTGTACAGAGGATTCATCAGTATCAACCTGAAATTGATGCGCTTTATTACTCAGAACTGAAGATCTGCAGTCTTTTTTTTTTTGCTGAAGCAAACTGGAGTAGGTAAACAGGCCTTTCAATCCGGCATTAATTTTATAGGGCTGGAAATTGTACAGCAGCAGTAGACAGTGGAAATTGGTCACGTGTGATGTCAACATACCCTGCTGTGTTCATCCAGCTCTACACCTTGTTATACCAGACTCAACCTTAGTTAACAGAGAGCCAACATTGAAATCTCGATCAAAGGTATAGTGAGCATGCACCAGGTGACGTGGGAAAAGAAAGGAGGACACTCCTTTTAACTGGTTGAGTATAAAATGGCCAGTGTTAGTTTACTGCCTATTTTACATCACTGGTGATTTTCATTTCGTTGATTGGAATAAATAAATAAATTCCAGGATAAAGAAGTAGCAGAACTGAAGGACTCCAGTTTCAATACATTGTTCAATTGTCAAGATCAAGGAACACTTCTATATCTGCATACATTTTTGAAAATGGCCAGTGCTCCAGTGCTTTTCCTATGGAATAGCACACAAGGTACCTAGGTACATACTTTTAGGAATAAATTAGAAAAAAAATGTATTCCTAAAATTTTGTACCTAGGTACTGGAACCTAAGATGGCACAAAGGACTTAAATGCTGAACTTCTTTAATTTTGTTTTTTTAAAATTTATTTCTAAGATCCTGTACTAAGGTTCTTTTGTACCTAAGATGGCACCATAGGTGGTGACTTTATTGTCCCATGAGTGCAGTGAAAAGTTTACAAACATAATTCTTATTCCTATTTAGATAATAAATTGAGGAAAGGGGGGAATGAAAATTGTGCACTTGGATTGAGAGGAAGCCATTGGATGTGGTTTATTAGGACTTTCAGAAGGCTTTCTACAAAGTCCCAACTAAGAGATTAATGTGTAAAATTAAAGTACATGGTGTTGGGAGTAGTGTATTAAGATGGACAGAAAACTAGTTGGCAAACAAGAAACAATGAGTAGGAATAAATGGGTCTTTTTCCAAATGGCAGGTAGTGACTAGTGGGGTATCTCATGGATCAATGCTAAGACCCCAGCTATACACAATATATATTAATGAGTTGGATGATAGAACTAAATGTAATATCTCCAAATTTGCAGATGACACCAAGCTTGGTGGGAGGGGGAAGCTGTGAGGAGGATGTAGAGATGTTTCAGGCAACTTCCACGTGCCAAATGTAGTATAATGTGGATAAATGTGAGCTTTGGTAGCAAAAACGGGAAGGCAGATTATTGTCAAATTGCACATTCCCCATCTCAATTTATATCCAATGAAACCTGGGCATCAGTCACTGAAGGTAAGCCTACAGCTGCATAAAGTAGGCAAATTGTATGTTGACCATCATAGCAAGAGAATTCAAGTACAGGTGCAGGGCTGGTGTGCTGCAATTGTACAGGACCTTGGTGAGATCGGACCTGGAATATTGTGTGCAAGTTTTATGTCCTTATCTGAGGAAGAATGTTCTTGCTCTAAAGGGAGTGTAATGAAGGTTCACCAGATTGATTTCTTGGATGGTGGGACTGATCATGAGGAGAGATTCAATTAAGATCATAATTGCTGGAGATTGGAAGAATGAGGGACGTTCTCTTAGAAAGATGTAAAAATCTCACAGGACTAGACAGGGTAGATGCAAGAAGAATGTGTCCTTTGGTGGGGGGGGATGGGGGAGTCCAGAATCAGGGATACCGGGTAAATCATTTATGTCTGACATGAGAAATTTCTTCATCCAGAGAGTAGTGAACTTATGGAATTCTGTTCCACAGAAAGTATTTGAGGCCAAAACATTATGTTGTCAAGTAGTTTTTGGATCTAGCACTTAGAGTTAAAGGGATCAAATGATATGGGGGTAAAGCAGGAACAGGATGTTCAGTTGGATGATCAGCCATAGTCATAATGAATATTTAAGCAGGCTGTAAAGAGCTAAATGGACTACTTCTGCTCCTACTTTCTCTGTTTCAGTGTAACTAGGTGAAGTTGTGGACAATGCAAATATTATTTAAAAGAAATTCTATTGTCTCAAATTAGTAAACACCATTGATTATTAAATAATGAATGCTTGTATTTTGTAGGCTATAGACTAATTATACATGATGCTAAGCAACAAGTCATCTTTGGCTTGCAGCAATGTTTAAATTTGTGTAACTGATAGTCCCAATCTCTAAAATTTGAAGATTATTGACTCAGTAATTATACTTAAGCACAAATCAATAAGCAGACAGATATGTTTATTAAAGGAATATGTACACCTTTATCATAAAGATACAACCCCCCCCCCCCCGCCCCAAATATCACTGCGGGTAAAAGGATTGGCTAGCAGTTGTTAAGTTTACAGCATACTTCTGAACACAAAGGTAACACTGTCAAAAGTTAGGCTTAAAATAAAGATCCACTGGAGAAAATTAGATTTTACTGTGTAATTATGAAAACATGGCAATGGAAACCTCAAACTCACCAGAAAGAAATTTATGTCAAGAATACTGGCTAACATTTTAGATGCAGAAACAAGAAAAAAGATCTTTAGTAGCTACAGGCTTGTTCGGTTAGCTGAAGTTGTGTTCCATTTAGCACCATTTTCAAATCAATTCTGGTGACTGGGTTAAGCCACTTCAAGGCCGAGAAGCAGCTTTGCATCGCTTTCATCTATTACCATCTCATTAGCCCTTAAAAGGCCAGTAATACGTATTTTAACCAAAAAGTTAATATTTACATTAATTGTGCAGTAATTTATTGAGGGGTGGGGAAAGAAATCACAGAAAATGGGTGCAGCATGAATTTAAGAAGCAAGACTAAGATTAAGAAAAAAAATTTACTTAGTAAAAAAATCATAATTAAAATATACGGCAATATTCAGGGATCCCTGAGATTTTTTTTAAAAATGGAGATTTTGTCTTGTGAAAATGTACATTTTTGTGCTGTAGACTTTTTTAAATTGGTGAAAAATACTAAATATAATAACCTGGCACAACCATAAGATACTGCCCAGAACTTAGTTCTGTTCTTTAACTATTGAACTCATTCTATTTCCTTGAGATCAGTGACTCTGTCGCTTGTTGCAAGATAATGGTCCTCTATTCTGCTGACTGCATACTGGGATGTGGATAATTTAATGTTTTTTTTAAAAAAATGGATTCTCAAATGCGTCACTTTAGTAGCTTTGTAATTAATTAGAAAGCTAACATTGTTTACTGTTAACCAGATTATCATTAAAAATGTACATTAAACAAAATTAATTTTGCAGTCCTGTGCATAATGAATACCATATAAATTTCAAATCTGTAAGGCACCAATAGAGTAACATCTATCACTGTCCATTGTGCAGTAATTTTCCTGAACAAGTTCACCTTATTCTGGGAAATTTACACATTTGATTCTGATCACAGAAATACTCAAACATAAAAAATACATTACAAATACAATACAATTATTCAAAAAAGTGAAATCAATCAAGTTTAAGAAAAGGTCGAAGAAATTAACCTTTGATTTGTATAATTAATTCATACATGCTTAAAAAGGAATGTAGCAAATAATTCTAGTTAGCAAAACAAAACCCAAATGTGTGTTATTTGTAACTATAGCTTGCTGTAATATTTTAGGGAACAGATATTTTTAGGAATCAAACTAAATGTCAAAGTGCATTATTCACAAGAACTGCACACTTTAATTTTATTGCTGACAGTACAATGGCTTAAAGGATCAATCTACATCTACTTCCTTCTACCCCCCCACCCCCTGCCACCAATTGTGCAAATAGATTGGATATTCCCAATAATGCTCTACCAGTCATGTTTTGTGAAATAAGTATCAGCTCTGTATTGAAGGAAAGTGTTTCAATTATCACCATCCCTTATTGCCTTCTGCTTGGTTTTACTTTGAACATTGTTCACATACTGTATCAGAAGCATGGCACAACAGTGCTTGGCATTTAGGCATTAAACCATTTCTATTCAAACATCTGTAGTGAAACCGAGGCTCACAAAACAACTGTTTTGCCAGAGTCGTCCGTTATTTAAAAGACTCTTTAAAATGTAGTGTGTATTCCCATCTCATAAATCAATAGATAAACTCTCCTGGAATTTCCTGTAAGGTGTTAAATGGCTCCTCAAATTTGAAGCGTTTGGAGATGGCTTTTTGGTCAGTTTTTATGTTTTCTTTCTCAGACTGTCTGCACTGTCCCAATGTGTACGATGCCATGACAATGAGCTCCTCCGTTTCTTGGCTTTGCACTTCTGATTCTTCCAAAGCTGTAGATTCAAGTGCGTTGGTTGAAGCTTCAGTGACAAATTCTGTTTCATCACATTCATATGCCAACCATGGATGCCTGAGGCACTCCTCAGCTAAAGCTCGCTCTCTGCCAAGAATAGCAGATAACATAAATAGTGGTGGAAAAATCAAAACTGTTTGCAATTTAAATTATACTATAAAAGCAATGCATGTGTAAATTTAGGTACACAGTATGAGAAAATGTAGTAACATGAATCAATATCTGTTGATGGATGCAAATTAGACTCCGAATGGATTAGGAATGAACCATCCCAAGGGGTTGGGATCATTTGGATTTGAGCAAAAGGAACCTCAATCTTGAATGGTGCTAAAACTTACTATAAACATTAGCAATCCGTGAAGATGACTTGAGGAGGAGGATAGGGTGACAGATAGACAACAGATGCAAAATAACGAGTGAGAGGGTTCACTCAGTGGAATGGTATGTGGACATACAGAGACCAACCAATTCAAGTACATGATTTCCTGAACAAGAGAGCAGCTTTATAAAACCACAATAAAAGTCAATAGCTTTTTATGTTTAATTTTGTAACTCTTTATAATAAAAGTAATAAATCTGTATAAAATTAGTTAGGCTACTGTAAGATAAGTGTACACTTTACAGCTTTATAGAATAGGCTATTAATGCTTTGAGGGAATGGAGCACAGATTAATCAGAATGAGTCTAAAGATACGCTGTAAATTATTGGGATTATTTCCAGTGGAGCAGAGAAGCTTGAGCAAAGAGTTAATAGTGGAGAGAGTTCTTGCTTGGGTGGATTCTCTTTTATTTATTCCTGGTACAAGAGCATTGCTGCTAAGGCCAGCATTTGTGGGAAGCCAAAGGGATAAACCTGTAAACAAAAAACAGTAATACTTGGAAATGAAAGTACTGGTCATATTGGGAGATCCATTTTGAAGTATACAAGTTGGACCAGTACGTGTCATTTGCAGGTTTTACTGGTTTTTCCATTTGAGAAGGGGGTTATGAATCACTGTCCTAAACTGTATTCAGTCAGTCTGGTATTGGTACACCCATTGTGCACTGAGATAAAGGAGATTCAAGTTTTCAACAAACGACAATGAGGTGATTTGCCGTGGTCCATGAGGAGGCACAAGCATTTCTCCTTGTTAGGGAGCGACTAGTGTTTTTATACATTGTTTAAGGGACATGATTCCGCATTAAACATGGGGATAGCAAGGAAACAAATTATACAGCTGGTACAGAGATTGAACATATGCACCTCACTCAGTTGATAAAATAACTGACCCACCCACCAACTGATTCAGTGACGGTGATGGAACAGCAAGGATTGCTCTCATGTAATTCCTTTATTATTAATGATAGCCAAAATGTCACTCGCAATAGCTTCTCTTCCTGTTCCCGCACTGTTACCTCTGGCATACCCCAGTGGTCAGTTTCCATTTCTCATCTGCCATTCTGCTCCTCCTCAACATTTAAAGTTGATTCATTTTCAAATAGACACTGACTAGACTCAGCTCTACCTCATCACCTTTCCTGACTCACCACTGTTGCTAAATTAGCAGCCTGCTTACCCAATATCCAATACTGGATGAGCAGACAATTTTTCCAATTAAATACTGAAGCTATTGCTTTTGCTCTTCACTTCAAACTTTGGACTCTCATGACTGACTCTAACCTATACCTTGAATGTTGACTGAGACTGAGATTAATATTAAGCCAGTCTGTCTGCAAACTTTATGTCACATTTGAATGCGAGATTAGCTTCTGACTTCATATTCCAGCTATCACCAAGATGCCTATTTCCAGCTCTAACTTCATCTGATTTGTCTTATCTTAGCTCAGCTGAAACGCTCATCCTGTCTTTGTTACCTCTGAACTTGACTATTCCAATGTACTGCTGGCTGGTTTCCCGCATTGTACCCATTTTAATCTTGAGGCCATCTAAAACACTCTGCCTGTGTTTAGCTTGCAGCAAACATCTTCCCCTATCCTCCCTGTGCTCGCTCAACTGCATTGGCTCCCGGTCAAGCAAAATGTTGACATTAAAATTTTAATTCCTGTTTTCAAATCCTTCCAAGCCTTCGTCCCTCCATATCTCTCCAGTCCCACTGCCGTATATCTGTGCTCTTCTATTTCTAAAGAGGATAATGCATTTTCAATGATAACTGCTGCACCATTGGTAGTGATACCTTCAGTTACCTCGACCCAAGGTTCTGAAAATCCTCACCCACCCTTCTCTGCTTCTTTAAAATCTACCTCATTATCCAAATATTTGGACATTTAACCTAATATCTCCTTAAGACTTGTGCCAATTTAAATCCTTTGGTATGTCGGAAATTAATGCTTTGTGTGTTTTGGCTTTAACCTTAAATAAAAGGGTGATGATTATCAAGGGTATAGATTAATGTTTCAAACTGTGCTTCTGTGCAAGTCCAAATGCTCAATACGTCAATGTAAATACAGAAGCTAATCTGGCTGCAATCCATCGAAGAAAGAAGTTAGTAAGAATTAAAAAGGAGTTCAGTAAACCAAAACATTGGTCCCAGAAATCAAAATGTAGCCTTCAGGGGAAAAGAAAGTATTTTGACTCTCAGGATATATAAAGTTAATTTGTTATTATTTAATAATAATGAAGGTAACAAATGAATCATTCCAACACAATGTGGAGCCACAATATACCAAAACTGAATGCCTAGAAACACCACTTAGAAAATACAAGTCTCAAATGATGTGAGAAAGAAAAATATCAGAACAGATATTGTGACAGAACAACTACTGATAAATAAGATGTATGGAAATGCAGTCCTGTTGGATACTATCCAATAAGCTAAATAAACTAATGAAAAAAACAAAAATCAGAAACTTACTCAGGCTCCTTAACAAGCAATGTCTTGATGAAGTCTATGGCCTGTTTGGAGATATTCTCAAAATCGTCTTCTGTAAAGCTGAGATTTAACTGGGAAATGTTGAGGAAAGTTTCTTGTTTGCCGTCTCCCAGGAAAGGAGAAATGCCTGTTAGCATCACATACGCAAGGACACCTATACTCCTAAACACAGGAAAGTCATTCTGAGAAGCAGTTCCAGCCAATTCAATTATAACAATCATTTTAAACGGTTACACCAGAGATTAACTTACCACATATCTGTTGCTGTGCTGATTGGCTCATAATTTAAAATTTCAGGAGCTGAAAAAGAAGAAATAAATGCATTTTTGGAGATGAATTTATTGCATGTCATTAAAAGCCAGGGTGCACTGCACGTCCCAATGAACTCAGAGTCATATAGCATAGAAACAGGCCCTTCAGGCCACCATGTCTATTCAACCAAACTACACTGGCATTACTATGCCCTGGCATTTTAAGTGCTCACCCAGATACTTCTTAAATGTGAGAGTACCTTCCTCCACCACCCTCTCAGGCAGCACATTCCATATTTCTACCACCCTCTGGGTAAACAAAAAACAAACTTTTTTTTTCCCTCAGGTCTCCTTTAAACGATTTGCTCCTCACCTTAAATCTAAGTGTCTAAGACCAGAGGGCATAAGTTTACGTGGAACAGCTTCTCACAATGTACTCTATCTATATCTTCCATAATTGTATACCTCCTCAGCCTCCTCTGTTCCAAGGAAAACAAACCATGTCTATTCTGTCTATCCTCTTAACTAAGACTTTTCATCCCAGGCAACATCCTGGTGAATGTCTTGTGTGCCCTCTCCAGTGCAATCATGCTCTTCTGATAGTATGGCAACCAGAACTGCACACAGTATTCCATCTGTGGCTTAACCAATGTTTTATAAAGTTGTAACAAGACTTCCCTGCTCTTAAATTCTTCGCCCAGGCTAATGAAGGCAAGCATCCTGTATGCCTTCACCACCCTGTCTGCCAGTACTGATAGCTTCAGGGATCTATGTACTTGTACACCAAGGTCACTTTGTTCCTCAGTACTCCCCAAGGACCTACCATTCATTTTGTATATCCTTCCCTTATTAGAATTCCCAAAATGCATCACATCCCACTTATCAGGATTAAATTCCATCTGCCACTGCTCTTCTGAGTCCAATTTACCAACTGATCAATATCAGATTGTAGCCTGAGACCATCCTCCTCCTTATCAACACCACCCAAATTTTTGTGTTACTATTGATACCTTCTATGTTCACATCCAAGTTATTAATCTACATTACAAACAGAAAGGATCCCAGCACCAGTCCTTGTGGTAGACTGCTGGTCACAGGCTTCCAATTACAAAAAAAAAATCCTTTTCCACTACACTTTGCCTCCATTTTGTAAGCCAATTTTAGATCCAGTTTGCCAATTTGTCTTAGATTCCATGGGTCCTTACCTTTTGGATCAGCTTTCCATATGGGACCTTGTCAATGTCCTTAATGAAGTCCACGTGAACCACATCAACTGTACTACTCTCATCAATGTATTTAGTCACATTTTTAAAAAAGTTCAATTAAACTAATCAGACAGGATCGCTCCCTAACAAATCTATGCAGACTATTCCTGATCAATCCCTGCCTTTCCAAGTATTGATTAATCCTGTTCCTCAATTTTTTTCCAATAATTTCCCTACCGTTGACATCAAATTAACTGGTCTGTGGTCACCTGGCCTATCTGTGTTGCCCTTCTTGAAGGAAGGAACCTCATTAGCTATCCTCCAGCCACCTAGTACTTCACTTGTGGCCAGTGGAATATCAAATATCTCTGAAGTTCTGAAGAACTAGTTCTGAAGGGTCATTGAACCTGAAACGTTAACTCTGCTTTCTCTCCACAGATGCTGCCAGACCTGCTAAGTTTTTCCAGCATCCATGGTTCTTTCATTTTTTAAAAATTAAGTATCACCACCAGGGCTCCAGAAATTTCCTCCATGCTTCCCAAAGCAGCCGGAGATATATCTCATCAGGCCCTGGGGATTTATGCACCTTTATGCCTATTCAAATGTCCAGTACTTCCTCCCTTATTAATCTTAACATGCTCTGGAACCTTGCCATCCCAACTGAAATCTCCGGCTACAATGTCTTTCTTCTGTAAGAATATAGATGATAAGCATTCATTTAAGACCTCACCCACGTTCACTGGTTCCATACACAGGTTGCCCCTTCAACCTCACATAGATTCCACTCTTTCCCTGGTAATCCTCTTACTCTTAATATACTTACAGAAAGATTTGCGGTTCTCCCTAATCCTATCTGCCTTAGATATTTTGTGGCCCTTCTTTGCCTCCTAATTCCTTTTTTAAGCAACCCCCTACGCTCTTTAAACTTTTGAAGAATCTTCCCTGTTTTTAACACTCTGTACCTGACATGTTTCCTTCTTCTTTATCAAACTCTCAATATCCCTTGACTGTCCTTGCCCTTCACTCTTAGAGGAACTTGCTGGACCTGAACTTTCACTATACTTTTAGAATACTCCCACTTTCGAAATGTCGACGTAGCTGCAAGTAGTTGCTCCCAGTCTGTGTTTGTTACATCCTGTCTAATGACACTGAAAGTGGCCTACCCCCAGTTTTGACCCTTAACTTCTGCACTATTGTTATTCGTTTCCATAATGACTTTGTAAATTTACAGAGTTATGGTCACTATCCCCAAAATGCTCACCCACTGAACCTTCAACCACCTGGATTCCCAAGGATTAAGTCATGCATTGCCCCATCTCTAGTAGGACTATCTACATACTGCACAAAAACTCTCTTGGGTGCATTTTAAGAATTCTACCCCATCTAATATTTTCACACCAAGGTGATCCCAATTAACGTTAGCAAAGTTGAAATCCCCTATAACTATAACCCTGTTTCTCAGGCACCTTTCTGTGATTTGCCTACATAATTGCTCCTCTATCTCCCTCTGACTTTTGTGAGGCCTGTTTTATAATCCCAGCAAACCAACTGCCTTTTTTTTCCATTTCTAAGCTCTACCCAGATGACCTCTTTTGTAAAGCTCTCTAGCACGGCCCGGTGGCTCAGTGGTTAGCATTTCTGCTCACAGTGCCAGAGACACAGGTTTGATTCCATCCTCTGGCGACTATCTGTGTGGAGTTTGCACATTCTCCCCGTGTCTGCGTGGGTTTCCTCCCACTGTCCAAACATGTGCAGGTTAGGTGGCCTTAGATTGTACATGGAAAATGCAGGGTGACAGGGCTAGGGCGGAGGGGTGGGATGCACTTTGAAGGGTCGGTGTGGACTCAATGGGCCGAAAGGCCTGCTCCCACACAGTAGGGATTCTATGAATATCCTCACTCATTTCCTGAGCAATAACACAATTCCCCACCTCTCATACATCACACCTGAAACGTCTTTACCATGGAATGTTGAGCTTCCATTCCTGCCCTTCCTTCATGCATGTCAATCAATGATTACAACAATATCATATTCCCACATGCTGATCAATGTTCTAAGCTTATCCTCCTTACCAACCATGCTTCTTGCATTAAAATAGATACAATTTAGCTTTCTGGACCTCCCAAGTGTCTTATCCTACTCGTGTCTCCTTCACCTAGCATTCCTTCTTTATTTGATTGGACTTTGCTCCTGATTTCACATCTACTTTGTGCCCCGTTCTCCTGCTAACTTAGTTTACATCATCAACAACATAAGCAACCCTCCCACTCCCACTCCCACTCCTCCAGCAAGTATATTGACCCATTTCAGTTCAAATGCAATGTGTTCGGCTTATACAGGCCCCACCCATCCCAGAATTTGTTCCAATCATCCAATCATCCTCCTTTTAGTCATATATTCATCTGACCTACCTTCTTATTCCTAAACTATGTAGGGCATGGCACTGGAAGTAATCAGAAATTACGATGTTGTAAGTCTTCCTCTTTAATCTACTGACTCTCAATTCTTGTTGCAGGAAATCATTTTCTTTTTCCATCCGTGTCATTGGTACTAACATGTACCACGACTGCTGGCTGTTCACCCTCCCCCTTTCAGAATGTCTTGCAGCTGCTCCGAGACATTCCTGACCCTGGCACCAGGAAGGCAACACACCATTTGAGAATCTTGCTGCCACAGAACCGCCAGTCAGTTCCCCATGCAATCAAGTCCCCAGTCACTGAAGTTCTCCCAGTCTTTTGCCAGCCTTTCTGTGCAGCAGGGCCAACCGTGGTGCCATTAACATGGCTGTTGCTGCTTTTCTCTCAGACAGCCCACCCCAAAAACACAGTATATCTGTTTCAGAGGGGGACGAACTTCATTCTGTATTCCACAGAAACTAATATTAGTCAAAATGAAGCAACAGGAAAATGTCTACACATGAAGCAAGTCAGTCAAAGTGAAGAGAACCCACAGTTTGGGATTTCCCACAAGCAGTGGAGTTTTAAGCAGGTACATCCCAACTGACAGCTGGCAGTTGGAACATAATAGGGAGAAATGCAAGGTTATGCATTTGGCAGGAGGAATAGAGGAGCTGAATATTATTTAAGTGGGGAAAAATTGCTGAAAGCTGCAGACCAAAAGGGATTTGGGAATCCTCATTCATGCATCACAAAAAGCTAGTATCCAAATTCAAAGGGTAATCAAAGACAAAGTGGAACATTGGCCTTTATTTCAAAGGGAATGGAGTATAAATATAGGAAGGTTTTGCTAAAACTATACAAAGCATTTATCAGATCACAGCAGGAATACTGTTTTGGACCCTTTACCCAAGGATGGATATGCTGGAATTGGAGGCAACCAAAGAAGGTTCACTCAGCTGATACCACGTATGGACGGGATGTTTTATGAGAAGTTGATAGATTGGGCTTGTATTTGTTGAATGTAGTGGGAGAGCCTAGCACCAGAGGGCATCATCTCAGATGAAGGGGTCACGCATTTACGACAGGGATGAGGAGGAATTTCTTCTCTCCAAGGATTGTGAATCTGTGGAATTCCTCCTCTCAGAGGGCTGTTGAACCTGGGTCATTAAGGATGTTCAAGGCTGGGATTGACAGTTTTTTTTTTAAAATCAGTAAGGGGTCAAGGCATACTTGGAAAAGGCAGGAAAGTGGAGTTGAACATCATCAATCAGCCAAGATCTCATTGAATGGCAGAGCAGACTTGATAGGCTGAATGGTTTTGACACCTTATGGTCTTTAGTCAAATAGGGAGCCAGTTATCGATGGGCATAGTGGTAGGTAAGTTCATTCTGGAAACAAAGGTCAATTGGTAACAAAGTAAGGGACACACAATCCTGATGAAAGGAAATTTGATGTCAGTGGAAGTGGGGATTGCTTGGGGCTGGGAAGGTTGGCAGTGGATGGTGAGCAGGAGACGTGGAGGTTGGCAATCAAAGTGGGAAGCGGTTTGGCTGGACATCTATCATGGACTTGCTGTGATTTTTCTATTTGTTAAAAACAAACGTATATTCCAGATAACTGCAGCACAATATTGCTGTCTCCAGGTCTGGTGTACAGTATTAAGGGTGTGACTTATGAAGTATGATCACATTGAAAAGATTTCACTGAAACTAAACCAGATTGCACATCGGGAATGTGTTCCAATGTTGAGAATAGACCAGTTGGTGGTATAGCTGGAGCGAACACAATTTTGAAGGAAATTTTAGAAGAGTAGAATGGAACACAGAAATCATCAATTTGTGGTAATTAGCAAACCACAACATTCACAATTCTGGTATATTGAAAGAAGAATCAATCCTGCTTAAATAGGCTGGTCTTTTATTCCAGTGACAATTAAATATAAAAAATGAGTTAAACAAATGGAAGTTTAACCAAAGTAGTGCTACTAACTCAAAATAAAATAATATTTGTGCAAATAATGGGTTTCTGACATCTCAGTTATATCACTAATCATGCCAGGTCAAGTCAAATTTGGTGTACAGGCAATTTGTAGTTATCATTAAATTTGAATAGCATGATTTTAAGGATTTAAATCCTAGTATTGACTCTTATTTAAGCCTTTTAAATTGGCTAAGAGCCAAGCTGTGGATTGGAGTTAGTTATGCTTTCCAGGCTGGAACTGTGACTGGTCATCAAGCAGTGCTGAAAGCAGCAGAAAAAAAAAATGTATCAACTCAGACTATAACAGGACAAAGGGTTAAGCAAGTCTAAATGTATTGAACAAAGAGGAGCATAAAATGCTTCAGGAGGACATAGACTGTGAAGTCAGCAGGCATGTGTCAGATATAATTTAATGCACAGAATTGTGGAGTTATATATTTTGATAAGCAGAAGCAAAATAAGAGACAACACGGGCTAAATGGTACAACTTTAAAGGAGGTGCAGGATAGAGAAACCTGGCACAAAGGTTTGCAGACAAATCTTTTAAAGTTGAAAAGGCTGCTAAAAATCTATATGGGATCCGTGACTATTAATAGAAGAAGCATACAATTTTTTTTTTTAAATTACACTCAACTATTATTACATAAAATCTGAGGAAGGGTCACTTGACCCAAAATGTTAACTCCGATTTCTCTCCAGACCTGCTGAGCTTTGCCAGCAATTTCTGTTGTTATTTATTATTACATAACACTGTTTAAGGCTTATGATGGAGTATCATAGCTAATTGAGGGCACTACACATATTAAGAAGGATATTAAGTCAGAGAGAATACAAACGGGATGTTAACTACAGTTGGTACATTGACGAATGTCTAATTAAGTGGAGATGCTGAAGAAGCTGGCCTTATTCTTAAAGCAGAAAAGGTTGACAAGAGTTCTGACAGAGATGATCAAATCACGAATAGTCTTGTTAAAAAAAGCAACTATTTCAAATAGCACAAGTGATGGCAACTGGAGAACACATATTTAATGCAAGTAAGGGAGGAAAATGCAGAAGAGACAGTTTTAAAAAAACACAATAATTTGTTGTGAACTTGAATGCATTGCCTGAAATTGTAACGGTGGCAGATGTCATTGTAATTTTTGTTTAATACTTGAAGAGAAAATTTAATCGGGTTGCAGGACAAGAGCAGAGTAATGGGATTATTTAGATAGGCCTACCAAAGAGCAAGCAGAGGCATGATGAATTGAACCGCCTTCTTCTGTGTTGTGTTATTACGTTTCATAGAATCAGAAAAACTGTAAATATTGAACAAGTAATACTATAATGAACTACATAGTCAACAAAAATGGGGCCATTTAGATCCTGTGATCTGTACCACCAAGTCACAGTATCTTTTAGCAGACAATGTTTGCATGCATTGGTATTCTTAGGCATTTAGAGTCTTCTAAAAAAGAACTCATTTTGAGAGCTCATCCAGTTATATTGGTGACCAATGGTGCTCACAGTGAGACTTTGCAAAGTTTACAAATCCCTCTCAAGTTATAAAACTGAACAATTCTGAGTATGGGTGAAACTTAAGATAACCTACCCACATATTCAGGTGTCCCCATAATTTCTCTAAGCTCTTCATTATCATTGACTTGTCGTGAAAGGCCAAAGTCAACTATCTTTATATCTCCCAGAGGTGACACACTCGTCAGAAGGATATTTTGTGGCTGGAATGGAAAGAAAAAGCACAGGAATTAAGCAGTGATCAAAAAGAAGCTCAAATGACAAATAGTAGTTTCATTTTGCAGTTGTATTTAACTATATAATATCTATATTATACTATTACTATATTATACTATTGAGCCCGACTCATTATGATACACAATAGCCTAACAAATGCTCAACTGCAGACACCCATTATTGGACAATTTAAAGGGCAGTATGAAAAAAGGTTGACTTTTACAATGTACTACACTTACTCCCCACCTTGAAAAAAAACTCCTACATTAAAAATAAAATGGTATATTATGTATATATATACGCAGTTTCCCAGAATTCAATGACTAAGTCAACACTAACAGTACCTGAGTGTTAACAGGTTGGATTTCCATTTGTTGTTGCTGCAATCATAACTAAAATATATATAGTCAAGTTTGGCAGAGCAATTTACATGTGAAAAAAAAGTTTTATCTCAACACTCTACAGGCTTAGCAAACATACAATCATTTAACATGACATAACAAAAGGAGCAATTTCCTCCTTTTTACTTAGTTTCAATGAACCTGACTTCTTTCTCTTTCTTCCTAAGTCTTTCTTCTATTTCCATTAGCTTTGCTCAGCTACTTCAACATTACTGGCTGTGTTAAAACTGACCTTTGGCGACTAACCCCAATCAGTGGTTGGAAATGTGACATTGATTAATTTATTGAACCAAAAGATCCTGACTCATTTACCAGTAGATAACCTGCTACCGGCGGACTCCCAGTTTATTTGCAACTTCCACATTTTTTTTTCCTGACTTTCTCTTGGGTCTGTACGGGGAATTTGGACTATGAGTTTCTTCATGCTTTCATTCAACTAGATTTCCTTGTTCAAGCAGATGAGCCATGTGACATTGATGCACTCTCCAACTTTCACTAGATCATAAAATTATAGAATCCCTACAGTGTGGAAACAGGCCATTCAGTGCATAGAGTCTACACCGACCCTCCAAACAGCGACCCACTCCGTACCCTGTCCCTATAACCCTGCATTTCCCATGGCTAATCCAGCTAAGCTGCACATCTTTGGACGGTGTGATGAAACAAGAGTACCCAGAGGAAACCCACGGAGACACAGGGAGAATGTTCAACCTCCACACAGACAATCGCCCGAGGATAGATTTGAACCCAGGGCCCTGGCACTGACAGGCAGTAGTGCTAACCACTGTGCTGCCCTGGATATGTAAATGCACTCTGCTTCTTGCAATAACACCAATTACACATTGCACCTTTGCATCTGAGTGGCTCTACTCACCTTGATCTTCTGGCCACCATCAAGTGCCAAGCTTGGTGTATCTTGACTCATTTTCACTTGTCTTGTTTTTCTTTTATTTTGTTACTGACATCAAGCTTAAGAAAACTAAACTTTATTCTAATAGCATGTTTTAATGCAAACACATTTTGAACAAACCTTGTACAACCATGGGGTTATCTTGCAAGAGAAGGGAAAATTGTCTAGCCTCTATCGACAGAAAATATAGAAATTACTGCCCACCTCATCACCTAGCATATACGCTTGAAAAGATCTCTTCACAATCTGTATCCTTCCTTTCACACCAAAATTGAGATGTTTGACGAGTTTTGGTTTCAGTCTGTGGAAGTAACTACTTTTAAGAGGAAGTCAGGGAGACATTGAATAAAGTGATCTAAGTACATCATATCAAGAAAGCATGTGATGTAGCAAGTGCCTAGCCAGATAGTCAGAAGGTTGATATGTACAAGGAACAAGAATAGGCTGCTTGGCCGTTCATGCCTGCTCCACCATTCAATAAGATTATGATTGATTAATTTTAACCTCAACTCTATATTCCTGCATATCTTGAGAATGCATTAACCCTTTAGTAATCAAGAATCTACTTACTTTTGCCTTAAAATATTTAAAGATTCTGTATCTTTATGATTCTCCACTTTTGAGGCAGGAAATTCAAAAGACTCTCAACCCTCAAAGAAAAAAGTTTCCTTATCTGTCTTAAATGGGCGATCCTTATTTATAATCCATTGCCCCTAGTTCTACACATGAATTTCTCAGCTGCAAATCATTCTCTTCAATATCGTGTAAAGGAATTTACAAAAGTCAATTTTTTAGCACACGGTGGAAATGCAAAGTTGATCATTTAAATTTCTGCAGAACATTTGAAGAAGTATTTACTCTGTTTATGACATGCAGAAAAACAAAAGGTGCAACACTGGTAGCTTAATTTGTGTTCTTAGCAGAAGAATTAAGATTCACGTTACTGCTAGCATTTGAAATATTTTTCAGTCCAGCAGAACCATTTCACCTTAGCAGAAGGGCAGATCAGTTTGTAAAGTCTCCAAGTTGTGAGAGTTTGATGGGAATTTGCAAGCTGATGGAGCTGAAGAGGTATTTAGTCTGTCAGAATTCAAAGGAGCTCCAGATAATCAGAACTGGAAGAAGTCTTAAAACATGTTTCAGTGGTCTTAAAAGGAAAACTGTAGAGAATTAATTAGAAATTAAAGAGCTAAGATTGGGTTGATGTTTCAGTGGGATTGAGTATCTGAGAAAGATACTGCTGTGAAAAAGACAACCTATGTTTTTGCTGTTTATGGTAAGATATTTCCATACTAACTAATATATAGACAAAAATGTATTGTTTGAATGTACTTAATTATGTAATAAACGTTTGTCTTTGTGTCAAAAGAACATTTGCAGCCTTGTGTGAATATATTCAGACTAACCATCATGGTTACTATCTGCAAAAATTAAACTTATATCCATCACTTTTGAACAGACTAGTCTAGCATTACCCAAAGCGGAATTCATAATAGGTGCACTCAATAACTTCTCATCAGCTCTTCAAGTTCTTGATCTACTTTTGGATCTACCAAAAAAATGCCTCTTGCTTTTGCTTTTGCTTTTATGCAGATAATGCCCAACTCTAATTGCACAAGGTGTGGACACACTCACAGTGCTGTTAGGCAGGGAGTCACAGGATATTGAGCCAATAGTAAAGGAACAAAAATATACTTCCAGGGCAAGATGGTGGGTGGCTGGAAGGAAATCTTGCAGGGGATGACATTTCCATGCAACTGCTGCCCTTATCCTTATAGCTACCCATAAGTAGTGACATACACTTTCCTAGGTGGACAATCATATTAATTAGTGAGTGATTACTCCAACAACCACGATGGAAGGTGATGTTGGAGGAGCGTTGGTGAGTTACTACAGCACACCCTGTCAATGATACAGACTGCTGCTACTGTGCATTGATACCAATCGAGAGGGCTGCTTGGTCCCAGTCGGTGTCAAAGTTACTGGAGTGTTGCAGCAACGGCACCCATCCAGACAACTAGAGAGTATTCCATTGAACTCCTGACTTGTGTCTTGTAGACGGTGGACAGGAACGAACAAGGATATCCAGCATCTGCAGTAATTTGCTTTTATAAGATAAAGATGGGAAAACTGGAGGTGCTTGACTTGTTGCAGAATACCTAGTCTCTGACCTACTTTTGTAGCCACTGTATTTCTATGGCTAGCCCAATTCAGTTTCTGGTCAATGGTATTCCCCAGGATATAGATAGTAAGGAATTCAGCAACGGTAATTCCATTGAATATTAAAGAGTGACGGTTAACTTCTCTCATTCCCTAACATTCCTGAGGCATGAATGTTACTTGCAACTTATCAGCCCAATTATGAATGTTGGGTGTTTGAACTCTTCTTTGTTCAATTCTCCCATTATGCCTTCAGAAGCATTTTTCCAATTACATATTCTGCTGTTCTCACTGTGTACCTGAACATGGTGTGAAGATGGAGCAATCTTTCCAACTGCTCAAAATATCCTCAGTATCAACTTCAGAGGTACTAAACCATGTGTCACAACGTTCTTCATTTCTTAAATTGTCAAATGGAATCTTAAAGAAAGAATTCTACTCCATCCTCATCACCTTTCTAATATTTATTGCGCTGAGTAAGAATGACAAGTTACACACCTGTAGGCAGCCATTATTCAACAACTTTATTTACACCTCCCCAAGAGAGAGGCAGCATAACAAAATGCTAAGCTATTACAATAGATTTTAAGCAAAAATTACAAAGTTTAAAGTGATTTTAACTTTCCAGCATTCCCACAATTTAAAAAAAAACAGCTTTTATTTTGTGATGAAAAGCAGGCTGAATAACTTACAAAAGCTGGTCCCTTCACATTTGGGAAATAGTTCTTTCTTATCTCTGCCCACTTCCCCCCCTTTTCAAATTGTAAAGTTCTGCATATTCATTGGTTTGTATTAGAACCAATGCAAACAGGATAGGCTAATGAAACTTGTCATGGATTTTGTTTTGACAGAGCCCAGATTAAAGTGCCTGTACTGAAGGTAATGACTGCGCTTTACATCAATAAATAGGCGAAACAGATTTTCAAAAGTCAAAACTGGAACACATTTTTATTGAGATCATGTCTGCATTGTTGATAGAAAAGCAGTTCTTGAGGTTGGTTGGCTCGCCGAGCTGGTTTGTTGTTCCGCAGACGTTTCGTTACCGTGCTTGGTAACATCCTCAGTGCAGCCTCTGATGAAGCGTCGGTGTGTATTACCACCTGTTTTTTTTTAAAACTCTGGGGTCCGTTGCGATGGATTGCCTCGCTTCCGGGTTTCCTCCGTAGTGGAATGTATATGGGGTCGAGTTCAATGTGTTTATTAATAGCCTGCTTCGTGGAGTGCCATGCGTCCAGGAATTCTCGTGCTTGTCTCTGGGCTAGGCAGAGACAAGCACGAGAATTCCTGGACGCATGGCACTCCACGAAGCAGGCTATTAATAAACACATTGAACTCGACCCCATATACATTCCACGACGGAGGAAACCCGGAAGCGAGGCAATCCATCGCAACGGACCCCAGAGTTTTAAAAAAAAACAGGTGGTAAAACACACCGACGCTTCATCAGAGGCTGCACTGAAGATGTTACCAAGCACGGTAACGAAACGTCTGCGGAACAACAAACCAGCTCGGTGAG